AAAACAGATTATAAGTAGAAATATAGAGTGGGGAATGGAGAAAAGGATACGTGCAGGGTTTGGTCATCTGGAACTTTAATGAGGGTTTGCTTGTCACACTTTTGTTCTCAATCAAAAAGAGAAAAAAACCCTTATCAATTTGTTCTCTTTGCAATTTTCCATATCTGGATAGTGATGACAGTCTCGGACACTTGTTAAATGAACGGTAAACTTTGACTCTATTAAATTTAGTTGGTTGTTGGGGCCGTTAATCTTATTTTTTATGCAAGGCATTGGATACTTTGTACACGTATTAGGCCGACATATGGTCGATTAGAAATGTGAGACCTTCATCATAATGAAAATTCATAGTGAGTCATGATAAAAAGAATGTAGCTTTCACTTTGAACGTTGAACTACTATATATAATTTTTGCATGCATGCTTTGTTTTGATTTTGATTATTTTAATTTAATAAGCTAATGACGTGTCGAGGGGCAAAGGAATTTACAGGTTAGGCATTTTTTAGCAGCCCATTCGTTCAAGTATGTGATTTGTTAAGAGCAATGTTTTAAGAACCCGTCCACGCGTCGATCCGGAAAACAGATAGGAAAGTTCAATCGCGATCGAACCAAGGTCAAATCAGAGATAATAAATATAAATTTATAAATTTTATTTTCACAACAATATATAATTAAATTTTTATACCATCAGTTCAAACTAAATACAAATATGTCAAATGTCTGTTTTTTAATATAAATTTTAGTAGTTTTAAATTTGTTAGATCTCTTAAAAACTCATTTCAATTTTACTAAATAATTTGTAACATTAAAAAAATGTTTAGCAATCTATAGAAATTGAGTAATTCAATTTTGTAGTCATGCACCATTTGGCCACAAATAATATTGAAAAAGTGTGCTTTATTGAAATTTATCAATCCCACATTGGAAGTTTATATGCCTAAGAAGGAGGGTGGTTTGGGTCTGCGGAGTATAGAGATTTAGAATAAGGCTGCCATGTTAAAACACCTTTGGTCCCTTTGTACGGATTCTGCCTCCTCTCTTTGGGTTTCATGGGCACGAAGCTACTTACTTAATGGCCGAAGTATTTGGGAATTGAAGTGTCCTGAGGACTGCTCTTGGAGTTGGAGCAAGATTCTTGCACTTCGGGATATAGGGAGGGACAAAATGAAATTCAGAATTGGTAATGGTCGACGTGCTTCTCTTTGGTTTGATAATTGGCATCCTCTCTGTCCTTTAGAGAAGATTCTTGGTGAGAGGATTATTCATGAATGTAGATTGAGTAGACTAGCTAAGGTGGTTGATATTGTTGAGGGTGATACTTGGAGGTGTCCATCAGCTCATTCCCCAGCGTTGTCTGACTTGATGCGAGATACGCTTGATACTTCTTGACCGAATAGTACTAGAGATGATGTTTTGCGATGGGTGGATGATGCGCATGGAGTCTTCTATGTTCGGAGTGCTTGGGAGTCTATTCGACTTCGCTGCCCT